ATTAGGGCGTCGAAGCAGGACTGCATAACATAATGTAGTCGTAAACGTGTTGTCATTTACCTATACGAGCGGCAAAATCCTTCACATAACATAATTTTTTTTATCACCATGCTTGAAAAAGATATCGCCTACAGCTCATAGTTGGGGACCCTACTGGAAAAAAAAAATTGTCAACTTGGAGGGAGAAGGCCGATGCTTCTTTGGAGTATCGGCCAATGAGCTATACAATGATGGTGTAAAAGACAAGAATGAAGTACATGCAATTCTGCAACAGGTGATTGATATGCATCTCACCTTCAACATAAAGTTGACCAACTACAATTACGCATATTCGAAGAGCGAATACACCGTGGTCAGAATCAGCAATGAACCATTCAATGTAAGCACATCTACTTAACCAACTCGCACAACATATAATCTTAGTAATTATTCCCTATCTCTAAAAATAAATCATTGTTCCTGGAAATTAAACAAACCATGTTGAACCACCAATTTAGGCAGGCAGCAACGCCACCACAGAATCCAGTCATTTAAATAACCACCAGTTGGAGAACATTGAAGATGAAATCTCAACTCCAACCAACTTGGACAATGACCATCCCAAAGAAGCAACTCCCTTACCCAAGAAAAGGAAAGTCACTTGTGTCTATGACAATAAGGGGAATTGATGAGGTGCCAATTAAGTAAGAAATCACATATATTTTGTGATCTTGGTAGATGCATTCTACAATACCTAAATAATACCAACATTGTGCACAAATAAATTATGTATGTGGTACAGTAATTTCTCCTGTGTTCTCCGTGGATAACAATCTAGAATATATAAATAAGACGTCCATCATGCATTCACACAGTTCAACCACTTTCTCCCATGTACTTACTTCACCATCACCCAAAATATATACCATGATAAATAAATAAATGACATGTCCATTTTATAGACAAACGAGTAATCAACATCACTCATTTAACATCTCCCATTGTAAGTCGTATCATATTAGTCATACCGATGGTATATACCACAATTAAATGATCAACATGGATAGAACCATATTCCATCGGTCGTCATTTGAAGGATGTGGCAATCACTTTCCCGATCTCAATAAAGAAAAATTCCAACAACACAACAAACAACCGCAAATTACAATCTAACACAAACAACGACACCGACCTCAAAATAGGACACCAAACCTAAAAAACCGACCAACCAGCCGGTAATAATACTAGTGTACATTATAAATGTATCACGTAAAACTTATGTATCAACTAAGTTGTTCTATAATAGTTATGTACATTACCATGGTTGTCAAACAGGTTTCATGTCGGTCGGTTCAACCGGGTACTGGTTAGCAAATCAGCTAGAAAGGGGCTGGTATTTAACTGCGGTCAAATTCGATCAATGTCGGTCAGATCCGGTAAAATCCGGAAATTCTGGCCGGTTAGACCAGAAATCGGAATTCAATGTTACACACATTATATCCAAAAATAAACATCCTCCATAGGATTTGAACCAAGTACCTCATGTTCATTTTAGTTTAACTTATACACCAATAGGTTACAAGCAATTTTGTTGTCTATATTAACCTTATATATTATATATCGAATACTAAATTTTACACAAAACATTATAAACATTAATAAAATTCATTTTATATAATTTTATTTTTAAGCATCTAATTGTTTAGTATTAGTTATCAATTCTTAGCTATAAATTTTTTGTGTGAAATAATTTTTCTAATTGCTTTTTCATGACTAATTTATTTGGAATTAAGGATTTTTTTCTTATGTATTTTATCAAAACCGGCACACCGGCATAAATACTGGTTGTACCACGATCGGACCATTACACTAGCAAAACTGGCACACCGGCATAAACCGGTTTGACAACCTTTTACATTACTAATGCATTAAGTAAAACTTATGGAGATAGATATTTTTTATGTATCAATTCAAAAAAATGTATTAGGTATGAATTACATATATCTACAATTAAAGAAGGTTACTACATGTGTATTTCCATCAAATCCACATTATGAAATATTAAATTACATTTTGATGGATTGTAAATTTTGTAACCTGATTTATATGATAAGATCGCACATAATGAAATATTAACGGGGCACTATTTTATATTTTTTTAATGTTATTTATTTTTTAAATAACTTCTTAATGTAGTACTTTCGTAAATTATTTTTTTATTAGATAACCTATTACAAAAGATTTATATAACGTTGTTTTATAATAGTTATGTACATTAAAATGCATTTTGTAAAGCTTATGGAGTGATATATAAGTCTTACTAATGCATTACATGAAACTTATTGACAGATAGATATTTCGAATGATTAAAAACGTTACATAAAGCTTATCAATAGATAGTTAGTTCTTATGCATCACTACTAAAACTGATGATATAATTCTTTCGAAATGATTCAAACATAAAGTTTATAATAGTATTTTACCAGAAAATTTAGAAATATTTGATATTTCTAATTATTAAATAAATTGATATAATTTTAAATATAATTAATTTCTTACTGTTGTGGAGCGCGGGCCAAAAAACTAATTAACTTCTTAAAAGAACAAGTTCTACAGAACTGTTTATAAGGACTTAATACGTGACCTTAAAAACATGCTAGCTCTGATATTATGTCACAAACCAACTAGTCTCAATAACTCGAGTTGTTCAGAGAAGGTTGATTATTGATCTTATACTACTCTACGCCCCCTTGAAGCGGAAGCCAACTCATGGGCTTTAAATTTTTATCGTTCCACCATACCTTGGGATTAGATCAACTATTAGTATCGAGGGGTCGTGGAGATTCGAACACAAAACCACTTAATCATACCAGCTCTAATACCATGTCATAAACCAGATGGTCTCAATAAATTGAGTTGTTGGGAGAGGTCATGTGTACAAGTCCTCAAGACCACCAATATTATCGTTGTCTTTAAAGCATGTCATAAACTAGCTGATCCAAACAACTCGATCAACTGTTAAATATTGTGGGTTGTGGAGATTCGAACACAAGATCACTTAATCTTACCAGCTCAAATACCATGTCATAAACTAGTTGGCCTAATGAATCGAGTTGTTGATCGAGATGTAAGGTGTTCAAGTCCCCACGATGTCCAATATTAATCGTTTTCTTCAAAGCATGTCATAAACCAACTAGTTCCAATAATTCGAGTTGTTGGGCGAGGTCCAATTATGATACTTAACTACTTTCTTACAGTCCCCCTCAAACAAAAAACAACTCATTGTCTCAAAGCATATCATAAACCAACTGGTCCCCAGTACTTTTTTATTTATCACAAACTCTATTAATTTTATTGGGACCAGTATTAACCTGCCTAATACGACAAAGTCCACGTCACCAATGGGGCCAAGCACACTATCAAGATCATTCTACCTTGGGTCCAAACCTACCCTAAGGCACCTCTCAAAGGCGTCCACTTTTTTGGAAGCCTTGAGGCCTATACAAGGAGGCTCAAGCTCTCCACATGCATATAGCAAGTTAACATATGGGAAGATGAGGAGGAGGAGAACTGAAATTGCTACTAACTCACCCTCTAATTGATCTACTGCATATCTAGCAGACCGAATCAGAAGAATATATAGCACATGATGAGAAGGGTCAACATCTGAAAGCGAAGCTGAACCAAAAACGAAAGACACGTACGTAGAGTCTACGTTTTCTTTGAAGCATCTTCTCTGGCTATATTTGTTGAAATATAACGATTACTCGGTTTCCTCATCCATCGTCTTTAATTTGTTACAGTGATTATAGGCACTTGTCATGATCAGCCCTGGTTCTACATCCATGAAAGTCTGGCAAAGCATAGGGAAAGCAATCAAGGAACAAAACTAAAGTCGAAAACAGAATGGGAAACATGTGCCTTTACTACGTCTTTGTCTTTTATATGATCCAACAATGTATGTATATATAGTAATACTTGTATCTACACGTCTTTTGTAAAGACTTAGCTAACCCTAAATATAACATTACCTTAATCGTAGCTCCCAGTAATCATTCTAGCTCCGATCCTCTTTGATAACACTGATTTTAATTAGTATTGCATTGTTCAAAACCACATATGTATAAAACCATCCTGAGTACTCATGAATTTCATTTCTATTTCCTTTTTTCGTTTCCGGTCCAGAAATCTGGCAATAAACAAGAAAACATGTTAACTTTTCATTCTGTTTTATATTTGTTTTCAACTCCGCAAACAGATTGTGATTGCTTCCACTTATTTCCGAAAACAACAAGATGTTACTTCCGTCGTTTGTCAGCATCTGTTTTCTCATATTTCCAATGAAAAACACATTTTTTGTCCTAACTTATTGACGAGGTGAAATATTCGAAAGACATTACTCATAATTATTCTTAATACTTTTGTTTTTGTCCTTTGTTTTTTATTTGCTCTTTTACCAATCTACAATTGAAAGTGCATTTCCTTTGCATTTCAAACACAAAAATATTTCATTACAAAATGTATACCGTAAAAGAAGGGTCTTTTACAATACTATATAGTATTGGTGCTATAGGTTTTTACCTTTATGATACAACTTGAAATTGTACATTCAATGTTTGGTACAGTTTTAGATTATAATTTATACCTACACTGTTTTGTACATATTCTTTATGGTACAACTTGAACTTGTACCTTTATGTGATGGTACAACTTCATTAAATGTATAAGTTCAAGTTGTACCATAAATACATTTTTACTCTTATGTTATGGTACAACTTCAAGTTGTACATTAAAACACCAATACTTTATAGCATAATAAATGGCTTCACCGTAAAAACCTATAGAAGTCATTTATATGAAAACAATATGTTAGATTTTATTGTAAAATGCAACTAGTTTCTCTCGCACTATATAAACTGTGCAAATTAATCCCCCTAACGTTAACACTTGCTCACACCAACTACAAAGTTCCATCTCTTAAAAAAATAACATCACAGCCAAGATCTAACTAATCGATCGTTATGGGGAGCATCGCGGCCAACTGGAAGAAGCTGAGCGGGGAGGACGAATGGGCCGGCCTGCTGGAGCCGCCGCTCGACGCCGACCTCCGCCGGTACCTCATCCACTACGCGGAGCGGGCCCAGGCCCTCTACGACGCCTTCAACGACGACAAGCTTTCCACGGCGTACGGATTCAGCCGCTACCCGCCCGACGAGGACTTCTTCGCCAGCGTCTTCCTCCGGAACGGGAACCCTTACGAATACGAGATCACCCAATTCTTCTACGCCTCCACGGCGTACACGGTGGGCGACTGGGCCGTCGCCGACGGCCGGTCGGCGTGGATCGGGTACGTGGCCGTAAGCACGGAGAAAGGTACGTAGTATAACAATTATACTTTTTTTTGTGTATTATTACCAAACGAAAATGTCAAATTTTCGCCTCAAATTGCAACGTCTACTAAGCCAATTCGGTGGAGCGACGTCGTCTCGGGAAGGCCTCATCTTATTCAACTGGAACGGCGCCATCTCGTACAGCAGAGAACGTCCTCAGTAGAACGTCGTCGTAGCACTCCAACGTCTCTTTCACCCTTTTGTTTTCTGTTCCCTCCAAACTCTGCAACCTCTGTTCTTACAGTCTGTAAACACAGCAAGAGTTGTTTGTCTTCTATTGATCGATCCCTGTATATAAGAAACACAATCATCAATGAGAAAGTTAAGTTAGGGTTTCAATTGCACAACTGGTGTTATGGTATCAGAGCAACCCTAGCCGCCGCCTCCCCAAATGGCCACTCACCCACAAATCATGGATCCTCTTGAGGACCCTTTCTATCTTCATGGCTCCGATCAGCCAGGATTGTTGCTGGTAGGTGAGAAGCTGACCACCACCAACTACAATGACTGGAACAAGGCGATGCTCAACGCCTTAGCAGCCAAGAACAAGCTTGGATTCGTCAATGGCACCATTGTTGCCCCTGCAAACACAGATCCTCAGTTCTCAGCTGGATTCAACAAGCAGTGGAACCTGGCATCAAGAAGACCATCATGTCCTGCAAACTTGCCTCTGAAGCTTGGCTCAGCCTCAAATCTAGGTATGGTCAAGGTGATATGATTCGAGTTGCAGAGTTAATCGAGTCTATTGGCACCATTAAGCAAGGTAACCAAACCGTTACAGAATACTATGGCAACCTGATAGCTCTCCAGGATGAACTAGACAACTATCAACCCATAGATCCATGTAGATGCACTCCTACTAGTCCTCATTCTTGTCCTGCTATGAATGTTGTGGTAGGCTACAAGGAAACCAACTCTGTTATACAGTTTCTGAGGGGCTTAAATGACAACTTTGCCTTAGTCAGATCTCAAGTCTTGTTTGGAGACACTCTCCCACCCATAGATCGTGTCTTTCAGAGAGCCCTACAGCATGAAAGACAACTTTTTGGTACTCAACAAGGCAGAATGATAACTTCAGTTCCCACTGCCTTTGCCATTCAAGGCCCTAAACGTCCCTTCACATCTGGCAAACGCCCTCACTGTGTTTTTTGCAATGCTCCTGGTCACACTGAGGACACATGTTATCACAAACATGGCTGGCCTCCTGGTCTCACACCAAGAGGTTCTAATGTGACCCCAAATCCCTCTTCCAAACCACCAGAATGCACATTCTGCAGAAGGATAGGTCACACTGAAGACAAGTGCTTCAAGAAGTATGGTTATCCTCCAAGCTCCCAACCCAGATCCAATCCCTCTACTCGAGGCAGATCCTTCATCAATGCTACTGATAGCAGTGCTTCCTCAGACACTACTCAAGAGTTCAAACTCACTAAATCTGAGTATGAGAAACTCATTTCTCTGATGCATGATCATTCCAAGGACAAATCTACCTCCACTACTCACTCTGCAGCACTCACCATTCACCATGGCCCTGGCACTTCAGGTAACCATTCTTGTTACAGTCTTCAAAATAGCACATCTCCTATACCATGGATCCTTGACACTGGTGCTACTGACCATATAGTCAGTTCCTATTCATTTCTCAATGATCCTCACAAGGTGGATCACATTTATATTAATCTCCCCACTGGTGATAGAGTTCAGGCTACACACAAAGGCACAGTCTTTTGCCATAATGGAATCACCCTACAGGATGTCCTGTTTGTCCCTAAATTCACATTCAATCTTCTCTCAGTAAGCAAACTCACCACCACTAGCCCTCTTTGCTTAACCTTTTCTTCTGATTCTTGCACCATACAGGACATGAAGCTGCAGAGAGTGACTGGTTCTGCTAAGCTCCTCCATGGCCTTTACCACATCAACCTACCCTTAGCTAGTATACCTAACCACATCACAGCAGTTGCTGGTTCCCCACCTTTTGATATATGGCACTTTCGACTTGGCCATGTTTCTCACATTCGAATTCCCCAACTCAAACAACTATGTACATCCATTGAAACCATTAGCAGCTTACCTTGTGATGTATGTCATTTTGCTAGACAGAAAAGGCTTCCTTTTCCTTCCAGTTCCACTGTCACAGAACAATGTTTTCAATTAATCCATGTTGATATCTGGGGTCCCAATTCCTTCCCTACTTATGATGGTTTCAAATATTTTCTTACCATTGTTGATGACTTTTCCAGGATGACTTGGATCATCCTTCTTTCTTCCAAAGCTGATGCTCGTCCCAAACTGATCCAATTCTGCACCATGATAACCAAACAATTCAACTCACATGTCAAAACAATTAGAAGTGACCAAGGTAGGGAATTCCAGATGACTGATTACTTTACTGAACATGGCATTCTTCATGAAATATCATGCATTGAGACCCCACAACTAAACAGTAAAGTAGAACGAAAACATCAACACATTTTAGCAGTGGCAAGAGCCTTAAAATTCCAAGCTAACCTACCTATTGGTTTCTGGGGAGATTGTGTCAAACATGCTGTCTATCTAATCAACAGAGTCCCCACCACAGTCCTAAACAATCTCACACCCTACCAAAGACTCCATAATAAACCTCCTGATCTACAAGAATTAAAAGTCTTTGGCTGCTTGTGTTATGCAAGCACCATCACTAGCCACAGAACCAAGTTCCAAGAGAGAGCCAGGAAAGGGGTCTTCCTTGGCTATACCCCTGGTGTCAAGGGTTATAAAATCTATGATTTGAACTATCATGACATCTTTCTGTCTAGAGATGTTCAATTCTATGAACATGTATTCCCTTTCCACCAGACCACATCTGATGACACCGAAACTGTCCCCTCTCCTCCCACTCATACCTATCTCATTCCCTCTGCCCCCATACCAGATGAACACCCCAATTCCCCTCCTGCACAAGAACCAGACCCCTCTCCAACTTCCTCACCACATCCTTCCCCTACCCCTCCTTCCATAGACCTACCTATAGCCATTAGAAAACCAACCAGAACCATCAAACCACCAACCAAACTTCAAACTTACCATTGCAACCTACTTCAGCAGGCTTCTTCCTCCAGTCACTCTCTCGAGCAACATGCTCCAGGTATCACCTATCCCTTATCTGATGTCATTGATTACACTGGTTTATCACCATCACATCTCAAGTTCATCTTAAACATCTCTAGTCACAAAGAACCTGAATCATATGAGGAAGCTGCCCTCAGACCAGAATGGAACCAAGCAATCAATCATGAAATTGATGCTCTTGAACTGAATCAGACCTGGGATGTAGTCTCTTTACCTCCAAACAGGAAACCACTTGGCAATAAGTGGATCTTCAAGTATAAGTTCCTCTCTGATGGCAGCCTGGAAAGAGAAAAGGCAAGATTAGTTGCAAAAGGATACAACCAACAAGAGGGCATTGATTATCAGGATACATTTGCACCTGTGGTAAAGATGACCACAGTTAGATTGTTTCTGGCTATAGCAGCATCCAGGTCATGGCATGTACATCAATTAGATGTCAACAATGCTTTCCTACATGGGGATCTCACTGAAGAAGTCTACATGAAACTGCCTAAAGGCTACAAACCACCACCTCACATCAAGAACCCTGTTTGCAGACTCAAAAAGTCCCTCTGTGGTCTGAAACAGGCTTCAAGGCAGTGGTTCTCAAAATTAGCTGACTGTCTCATTACTCAGGGTTATACATCCAGCCAGATTGATCATTCCCTATTCTTCAAATTTCAAGGCTCTGATTACACATGTGTTCTAGTATATGTAGATGATCTGGTAGTGGGAGGCACTGATCTAGCAGAAATATCTAAGCTGAAGTAACACCTTCATCAGACATTCAGCATTAAAGATCTAGGCCCTCTGAAGTTCTTTCTTGGCATTGAAGTTGCCAGAAATTCATCTGCCATTCATCTATCTCAGAGGAAATATACCCTGGAAATCCTAGAAGAAGGGGAGGTGCTCCTATCCAGACCTGTATCTACCCCTATGGATCACAAAATTCACCTCACAGCCTCACATTCAGATGCATACTCTGATCCCTCCTTCTACAGAAGGCTTGTTGGCAAGCTTATATACTTAACCACAACAAGACCTGACATTAGCTTTGCCACACAACAGCTCAACCAGTATATGTCCAATCCAAGCAATCAACATTTTCAAGCAGTCACAAGGGTTCTTCGATACCTCAAGTCAGCCCCATCTACTGGTTTATTCTTCCCCACTTCTTCCTCTCTCCAACTCAAATCATTCAGTGACTCAGACTGGGCATCTTGTATGGACACTAGAAGATCAGTGACTGGATATTGTGTTTACCTGGGCAATGCACTCATCTCCTGAAAAAGCAAGAAGCAGAGAACCATATCACGATCCTCATGTGAGGCCGAATATAGAGCCATGGTTGATACAACATGTGAGCTCAAATGGCTTCTATACCTTCTCCAAGACTTCCAGGTGCCCCATTCTCACCCTGCAATCATCTATTGTGACAATCAGTCCGCGATCCACATCGGTGAAAACCCCACATTCCATGAAAGAACAAAGCACATCGAGTTAGATTGTCACCTGGTCAGGGAGAAATTGCAGGCTGGGATTGTCAAGATACTCCATGTTTCCAGTCTTCACCAACTTGCAGACCTGTTTACAAAGCCGCTTCCACCAGCAATCTTCTCAACTCTCCTCTCCAAGTTTGGTGTGCACAATCTGTTCCCACCAGCTTGCGAGGGGGTATCAGACGAAAATGTCAAATTTTCGCCCCAAATCGCAACGGCTACTAAGCCAATTCAGTGGAGCGACGTCGTCTCGGGAAAGGCCTCATCTTATTCAACTGGAACGGCGTCGTCTCGTACAGCAGAGAACGTCCTCAGCAGAACGTCGTCGTAGCACTCCAACGTCTCTTTACCCTTTTGTTTTATGTTCCCTCCAACCTCTGCAACCTCTGTTCTTACAGTCTGTAAACACAGCAAGAGCTGTTTGTCTTCTATTGATCGATCCCTGTATATAAGAAACACAATCATCAATGAGAAAGTTAAGTTAGAGTTTCAATTGCACAACTGGTGTTAATTATTACTGAAATCATATAGGATGGATATGGAGTATAGACTAACTCATGTAACGCTAATATTAATACGAAAATTACCCTAACTTTGTGATACCCTAATAGGTACATGGAGGTTGGGGAGGCGGGACATGTTGGTGTGCTGGAGGGGGACGAAGACGAGGGCGGAGTGGTTCCAGGACGCGAGCTCTGCAATGGTTCCGGCTTCCGAGGTTTTTGGGAGTACGGCTCATGATCCCATGGTGCATCAGGGATTCTTCAGCGTTTACACCCATAACAGCCCTCATTCCACCTACAACAAGACCAGCGCCCGCCAACAGGTGCGTACAATTAGTATTGTTATATGGAAAATTCTGAGCTAAGTCCAGAAGTTCCAACCACCCATATATAAATGAGAAATTAAAATATAAGAATTCACTCAATAATAGGAAACTGACATGTGGCTGATTGGATCGAGCTCATACGCCAAATCAAGGTTGGAGGAGCTAAGAATTTTTCATAGTTATAACATATAACCCCAAATGGATCACATGGTAAAAATAACAATTCGGGTTCATGTGCTTGATGGTTAGGAATGGGTCAAATGGTTTTTAACCGTTTGATATGAAACAGCACCTAGTTTGATTGGTTCATTCGTTGACTATTATTTTTTTTAAATAATAAAATAATAGTTTAAGGTAAACTAAAATCATTCCATCTTAATCATTGATTTTATTTCTACTTCCTTTATTTCGGTTCCATCTCCTCTGTCGGTTTTATGTGGTGCACTACAGAATGTCATCCTAATTACTAATTTGATTTTTTTTTAATTATGATTTTTCTGAAAAAAAATTTGAATGATTTGTGAAACCTTTTGATAATGAATACTACAAACGGGTTTGAAATCATTTTAGGTTAGTGATTATAAATTCATATGTATTATATATCACATAAACAATTTAGTTCATTGCTGAACTATAAACCAGTGTTATTAAAGCCGGACCGGATCGGTCGGTCCGACTGGTGAAATCGTCATCCGGTCAAGCTATTTAGCCGCCACGGCTGGAACACCCCATTTACAAGCAAACCGACCAGTTCAACCGCCGAACCGTTTGAACCGCTTCATCGGTTTTACCGGTCAGAATCTTGGTGACAAAAATATCCAGCCAGGTGGTGAGAACTGGGATTCGAACCCTGGTCAAGCTATTTAGCCGCCACGGCTGGAACACCCCATTTACAAACAAACCGACCAGTTCAACCGCCGAACCGTTTGAACCGCTTCATCGGTTTTACCGGTCAGAATCTTGGTGACAAAAATATCCAGCCAGGTGGTGAGAACTGGGATTCGAACCCTGCAGCTCTTGGTGCAAAAGTCAAACGTTTATCTAGTTGCACTACTAACAACTTGTGTAATAGAAGCTATAAGTCTCATTATTATACACTTTTGCAGTGTTTAGTTTTGAAACTAACCATTAAATAATGTTCATAACTATTAAAAATCACTCGTATTATACTTAAATAATTTATATTTCTGTAGAATAATATTCTTTACTTGTTATATATAATTTTTTGTTTGAATATATTAGAATACATATATAATTATAATAACATTAATGGTTTCTATTTATAATAATTCTATTTTTTAGACAACGGTTCGATAACAGGTTTATAACGGCTTGATAGCGGTTAAACCAATAAAGTGCGAGCCGCTTATAATACTGGTTCATATGACGGTTCGGTTCTGACAACATTGCTATAAACCACTAAAATTTTCAAACAGATTTAGTAACCTACTATATCAATATTAGCTGAATCAATTTCATCATCATCTATCCCTTTTACACATGCATACAGGTGCTAGCAGAGGTGAGAAGGCTAGTGGACAAATACCGCAACGAGGAAACCAGCATCACCGTGGTCGGACACAGCTTAGGCGCCGCCCTGGCCACCCTCAACGTCGCCGACATAGTCACCAACCACTACCACAAACCGACCCACACCGGTCCAACCACTTCCGGCGGCTGCATGGTCACCGCGTTCGTCTACGGCTGTCCTCTCACTGGCGACCAAGGCTTCCACGACATGTTCACGGGCCTTTCCCACCACCTCCGCCTCCTCCGGATCCGGAACTTCCCTGACCCGGTCACCACCTACCTGCCGGAATTCTTCGGGTTCGTCCACGTCGGGAAGGAGCTGGTCATTTATATTAAGTCGCCTTACTTGAAGCCGGGTCCGAACCACCACAGCTTGGAGCTCTACATGCACGGACTGGACGGGTACAATGGAGTCCGGCCGTTTGAGCTGGTGGTGAGGCGGGATCTGGCGCTGGTGAACAAAGGGGAGGATCATCTCAAGGATGAGTTCAAGGTGCCGCCGAATTGGTGGACGGAGAAGAACAAGGCGATGAGACAGCTGGGTGATGGGTCCTGGGCGATCGCTGACTACATGCCGCCGCCTCCTGCTGCGGCGGAGGACGGCGCTGAACGTTAATGTCCAAGGAAGTTGTGCTGGTAGGAGCAGTAACATATAATAATAATAATAATAATAATAATAATAATAATAATAATAGAATGAAAATAGAAAAATTTCGAATGAAGGGTTGATTTGAGCCATCATAATGGGAGACTACTAAAATCTTATAAATTACTCTATTTTCTAAATTTGTTACGAATTTTATAGGTAATTATACTTTAAATTTTATGAGAAGCCATAACCTCCCCTGATTTTAACCTACCTTTGAGTGTATATTTATGTTGGATTACCCAATGATGGTAATTTACAAATTATTATTATTATTATTATTATTATTATTATTATAATAGTTAGTTTGAAATTTTTTTCTCATCAAGATATTGAATGTTTTTGGTTCTACATAGGCGACATCTACAAAACACTACAAGGCAATGTCAATAAATTGGCATTGCCACGTTAGCTAATCCTGATCACCCCGCACAGTTGAGAGGGACCAATTCGTTATTTCGTAATGCCTCTCTCTCTCTCTCTCTCTCTCTCTCTCTCTCTCTCTCTCTATACCTTCAAACCATCCCCTGGAAAACACAAACGCTCCCAAAAATCTCACTCCGGCGTCGTTGCCTTCCCTTTCTCCTCCCCCGCCGCTTCTATCTTTCTTCCTTCCATCATTTCCCACAGCTGCAACCTGAATCCCACTCCCAAAATTCGATTTGTATTCCTGTTTTCGGCGAGAAAACTTGCGTTGAAATGAGATTAATGCACCTTTGACTTCTTTGGGCAACGATTACTAAGACACGGCTCACACCTCTTCAAACAAAGTTCGAACGAGGGCGTTTGATTGATGGTTTCTGGGAACGAGATCTAAATTAAATTACTTCTACTCCTATGGAGGTTCGACGAGAGCTCCAAACTACGAACTACATCTATATATGGCTACATGATAGAGAAAAGGTAAAGGATCAACTTGACATGTGTGTCAGTTGTGTGGTTTTGGGAACCTTTGTCTATGTTCACCCCTCCTCTTATTTATAACCACGAAGAGGTAATCGCCATAGAAAACCACTTGTTGGATAACTGCTACAAAGAACCGCTCCTTCTTCTTCGGTAGAAAACTGCCTCTTGGATAACTCTCAAAAAGAACTGCTCCCTGCTTCCTCGGAGTGGTGGTTACTCCTTCAAACGCCTAGGGGCCTCTCTTGTAACCGTCGTTAGTCTTGGAGTGTAGCTTGCCTCGCCTGGTCTTGTTCTGAATCTCGTGTCATGCTAGTCTTTTGATAAGCATGTGGTGTCTCACAAAGGGGGTCGTGGTCTTCTTGCCTCTTGAGACATATTCACTAGTGATATAATGCTACATCACCACACCCTTTTTATTTGTGTCCATGGCCCCTCTCATGAGGCGGCATGGACCTCTCAATCGTGCACATGGCCCCTCTCGTGAAGCGGCATGTTCTTCCCAGACTTAGAATATTTTTAGGTCATTCGAATTTGCTCATAAGGCGGCCTAGCCTCTTCATTCGCGACCATGGACCTCTCATTCATGCTCGTGGCCCATCCTGTGACACGGCATGACCTTCTCGATCTCTAGAGGGACATGAACCTCCTCGTTAAAACGACAATTCCTTCTCCACACTTAGAATATCTTTGTCTTCTTTGAAGTGTGATTCGCGGCCTTGCGTCCATGGCCCCTCTCATGACACGGCTATGGATCTCCCAATCATGCACATGGCTCTTCTCTTGAGGTGGCATGGCTTTCTCATACTTATTTTTTCAATCATGTCTACGCCTCTTGTCTCCCATCCATTCCCCTTCTCCTGACTAGGCATGGACGTCTCATCTTGTCTCGCGTCCATGCCTCTTCTCGTGAAGCGAGATGAAACGTGCTTCTACTTGAAGCGGCATGTACCTCTTCCAGACTTAGTTTATTTTTCATTCATTCAGTCTTGATCTTGGGGCGACATGTGCCCCTCGATTTCTAGATGGTCATGGCCCTCTTCATGAGGCGGCACATGCTTCTAGATTTTAGATGGACATGGCCCTCTTCGCTGAGGCCGCATGTCACTCTCCAGACTTAGTGGCTTGGGCTTAAAATCAATATCCATAAGGCCCAACTTAAACAATATTAATTTTTATAATGGGTGTGAACTTATAAACTCATTGATTATCTTGTAACTCACCAATGTGGTACAAGACAGATTTTATGGTGTAAACAAATGTCTCCCAACTACTTAGTGCATAAGGATTATGGACTAAGTAGTTTAGACCAACTTGAGCACTTATATCCCTTCTCTAACTGGTCCTCGAGTAACAAGGCTTGTCTCCACTCACCCATGACCACAGGTTCAATAAAACTTGAATTTTTTTCCTCTAAAACAACACCATGGTACCTACGTCTTTCAAGTGGCTAGCTATGCCGCCTAGTTGTCTTCATTCATGTGTAGCCACGAGAAACCCTTGCCTTGTTGGCTTCTCGTCAACAATTCACTGAGGCCCCTACACTTTTCTTATTTTACATGCTCAAGTAGGCCATCACTCATCTCCAACCCACGATGCCCTTAGGTCGTGGCCAACATCCAAACTGGTGGCCACTTGGGACAAGACGACATAGCATGGCAAGACGCAATCTACGACTCGGTATGCCAAGCCATCACTACGACTTGGTGATAAGATCTTCACATCAAAGTCTAATAACTTTGACTCAAAATTTCCACTTTGTTATTTTCTCTCTATTTTTTCTTATATAGCCATGATTGGCTTTTATTTATTAATGAATATATATGATATTTATTTATTTAAGATAACAAGGAGTGACAAACGTCACTGCTCTCCATCGCCTCTGGCAACAACTAATGCACCAAAGGTGTACACCCACTGCCAAGTCCATGGATTAAAACATGCAAGCCATCCATATACCACATGCCTCTTTTCCTCCATACATTAATTTTGAATCTTCTAGCTTACCAGTGGGTGGTATATGATCAGCATGTCTAGCCTTGGTGGCCTTGCATGGGGTCTCATGCTCATATGCTTTAGCCACATCACTTGACATGTCAAGACGACCATAGGTTTTCCTCTGCCTTGGTTTCCTCGTGGTTGAGACATGCTTACTCTCCTCATGTTGTTGGAGACGATGTCCAGTCTTGACAAGTTGGCGACCACCCATGTGGCCCACTTGACTTTGTCTTTCAACCTCCAAACCTTGTTGGCTCCTACCCTTAGCACACGACCATCCTTGGTTCTTTGTGAGGCCATGTCTGGTTTGTGCGTATGATACCTTCTTATGCATGCCCCTATGTCCATCATTCATGATTGATGGCATGTACTTACTACTCATGGACATGGACTTGCCCCCCTGTCCACACTTAGCCAAATTTGCGTACTTATCACAAGCATGTGTAGGTTGGAATTCTTTTAGATTCTTGGACATGCCCCCTACTCCATTATTCATGGTGGGTGACATGCCTCATTGCCCATAATTAGCTAAATTTTCAACACTACGAGAACTCTTTTTGGCTTTCCCACGTCTTTTCTTGTTGGAATTGACCTCATATCCACTGTTTGCGAGTGGTTGCATATCCTCTTGTCCAGACTTAACCATAGTTTTACACTTATAAAGGTCATGGGTGGCTTGGAGCTGTTGTGTCTTCCAAAACATGCCCCCTACTTCATACTTCATGATGGGTGACACTGACATGCCCCCATGTCCAGACTTAGCCAAACTAGCATGCTTATCACAAACATGTGTGGCTTGGACTTCATATGACTTTTTGGACATGTGTTGTCCATAATTAGCCAAATTTTCAAATCTGCAATAACTTTTTATGACTTTCTTGCGTCGTGACTTGTTAGATATGCCCCAATTTCCACTACAAGTGGTTGGATGCATGCCCCTATTTCCAAACTTAGCCAAATTAGCATGCTTAGCACAAGCATGTGTTGCTTTTGATTGATGTGGTGTCTTAGACATTACATGCCCCCTAGATGGACTTTTAGGATTCACCTTGTGGGAAGTTAGACTTTCATCCCCCCTTTGGTGAGCTCTTGGTATTTTGAGTCCATCGGAATCGCTTCTTTGTCTACTCAATAGGGGTGGCTTCGGGGGTTGGCAAGCATGTGGTGGTACTTGTTCCACATTGAATGGATCTTCACCATCTCGTCCATTGAAAAGTGTCACATCTGATCTTGTCTCGAGAACTAGCAGTTGAACATCACCTTGTACATGAAAGACCCCATGATTGGTGTTCAGAGTGGAGGTGGACCTCTCACCACAAGTATCACATTGAGGGAGTGGTTTGGTTGCCACTGGAGGTGACAAGCTCTTCTGCCATAGTTGGCCATTCTGGTCATTAGCATAAGAGTTTGTACCATCTAGTGGCAAATCTCTTGATTGAACCACTTGCTTTATCAAAAGGTGTTTCAAATCATTGAAATCATCATTATTTTTGTTAACCAACTCTATAAGTTTACTTAAACGATTATCTAGATGAGAAGTGAGAGATGCTAGGCGGAGGCTTACTTATTGGGCACCACGATGAAGGTCGACTTGGCATCCCTCCAAGGAATAACGATGTTCCTCCATGGCATGGACGTTCTCCACCCTCAACATGCGGTTCTCCTCCATGGCTTGACGGTTCTCCACCATCATCTTGCGGTTCTCCTCCAAGGCTTGACGATTCTCCACCATCATCTTGCGGTCTTCCTCCAATACTTTGTGAAGTAACTTGATGTTGGTGGTTATATCAACACTTGGTGCCGCCGGTGACGAAGTCTCCACAACGCCATTGTTTTCGGCAACATCCTTCATCTCTTGGCCAAATTCAAACATAACCACGTGCTGCTTCACAAGCCCAGGTAAGAGATCACCTTCTTGTTGTCTCTGTCTTGGAGCCATAACATCAAACACAAGGTTCCACCAGGTGTGCCAAATTTGTTTTCCAGCCAGAAAACTTGCGTTGAAATGAGATTAATGCACCTTTGACTTCTTTGCTTAACGATTACTAAGACACGGCTCATACCTCTTCAAATAAAGTTCGAACGAGGGTGTTTGATTGATGGTTTCTGGGAACGAGATCTAAATTAAATTACTTCTACTCCTATGGAGGTTCGACGAGAGCTCCAAAATACGAACTACATCTATGGCTACATGATAGAGAAAAGGTAAAGGATAAACTTGACATGTGTGTCAGTTGTTTGGTTTTGGGAACCTTTGTCTCTGTTCACCCCTCCTCTCATTTATAGCCACGAGTAGGTAACCGCCATAGAAAACCGCTTGTTGGATTACTACTACAAAGAACCGCTCCCCCTTCTTCGGTACAAAACCGCCTCTTGGATAACTCCGAAAAAGATCCGCTCCCTGCTTCCTCGGAGTGTTGGTTACTCCTTCACCCGCCTAGGGGCCTCTCTTGTAACCGTCGTGGGTCTTGGAGTGTAGTTTGCCTCGCCTGGTCTTGTTCTGAATCTCGTGACATGCTAGTCTTTTGATAAGCATGTGGTGTCTCACAAAGGGGGTCATGGTCTTCTTGCCTCTTGAGACATATTCACTAGTGATATAATGCTCCATCACCATGCCCTTTTTATTTGTGTCCATGGCCCCTCTCATGAGGCGGCATGAACCTCTCAATCGTGCACATGGCCCCTCTCATGAAGCGGCATGTTCTTCCCAGACTTAGAAATTTTTTAGGTCATTCGAATTTGGTCATAAGGAGGCATGGCCTCTTCATTCGCGGCCATGGACCTCTCATTCATGCTCGTGGCCCATCCTGTGACACGGCATGACCTTCTCGATCTCTAGAGGGACATGACCCTCCTCTTTAAAGTGACAAGTCCTTCTCCACACTTAGAATATCTTTGTCTTCTTTGAAGTGTGATTCGCGGCCTTGCATCCATGGCCCCTCTCGTGACACGGCCATGGATTTCCCAATCATGCACATGGCTCTTCTCTTGAGGTGGCATGGCTTTCTCATACTTAGTTTTTCAATCATGACTAAGCCTCTTGTCTCCCATCCATTCCCCTTGTCCTGACTCGGCATAGACGTCTCATCTTGTCTCGCGTCCATGTCTCTTCTCATGAAGCGAGATGACACGTGCTTCTCCTTGAAGCGGCATGCACCTCTTCCAGACTTAGTTTATTTTTCAGTCATTCAGTCTTGATCTTGGGGCGGCATGTGCTCCTCGATTTCTAGATGGGCATGGCCCTCTTCATGAGGCGGCACATGCTTCTAGGTTTTAGATGGACATGGCCCTCTTCGCTGAGGCGGCATGTCACTCTCCAGACTTAGTGGCTTGGGCTTAAAATCAATATCCATAAGACCCAAATTAAACAATATTAATTGTTATAATGGGTGTGGACTTATAAACTCATTGATTATCTTGTAACTCACCAATATGGTACAAGGAAAATTTTATGGTGTAAACAATTCCACATATGGGAATCCCCTCCACCGCTGATTGCTCTTCCCTTTCCCTCCAACTAATTTTTACTCCCTTTCTTCAATTTTACTCAAAAGTCAAAGTTTCCAATGAGCTCAATTGATTTTCTACTTCTCGATCTTTCTTAAGATCATAAGTTGTGAGCTTTAGTAAGATCAGTTGCATTTCAATTCCAAGTTTTGATTTTTCTACACCAGCCTCTTGGTGTTGGGTTTACGTTTAAGTTTGATTTAGAATTATTCTTTCTCCCCTTATTCATTTGGCACTCCTAGATATTATTGGTAAATTATTAAGATTTTGGGTAAATACAATATATTAGCCACAACTATTATGAAGCGGGGAATTATATCCATAACTATGAAAATTCAAATTATTAGTCAAACGTTAACTCTCTGTTAACAATTTCGTTAGTAATGCTGACTAAACTTTTATGTTTTAAAGTTATTAATTAAAAGCAGTCCGACGTGGCGACTGCCGTGGCCGATGACGTGGCCTTCATCGTTAAAAATTCAATAATAGTAACGGACAATTAGCCATATCTTGATCTGCAACAATAGTTATGGCTAATAATTTGAATTTACATAGTTGTGGACATAATTCTCCACTTCATAATAGTTGTGGCTAATATATTATGTCCACTTCATAATCAATTGTGCTTGCCAGCAAATTAAGCACCTTTGCTTTGATAGTTGTGAGATCTCTGCCTCTTACACTAAACCTCTTTGTCGCATGCATTTTTGTATTTATGGAACCGGTTGAAAAGTTTAATTCAGACACTAGGTTTCATGACAACAAAAACTCAAACTTTTGTGTGTTCATGACGGCTAATAATGGGAAGAAGGTATGGGTTGTTAATGCACAGATATAGAGAGACAGATAGAGAGTCGCCAAAGGGCGCTCAAGCTAAGCTACTTAATTATTCTTTCTCAATCATACTTCTCTATCTCATTGGCTCTAAAAAGGGCTTTAACTATTGTTTACAATTCAAAGTAGGGGTGGGCAACGGTTTGGTTCGGTCGAAACTGAACCGAAAATGAACATACCGGATCCCCCGATCTCTCTACATGCGAAACCGAATTCGAACCGAAATATAAATCGGTTCGGTTCGGAATCCCGACAAAACCGAAATTCCACAACCTTCCCCTGCCTTCCTCTTTTCTTCCTCTGCCATATCCACTTTTTCTGTACGCTACTTCCTCTCTCTACCCAGAATACATGCTTCCTCTTCCTCTCCCTCTCTTCCACCTCTCCATCTCTCTCCATCTCTGCAACTTCTTCCACCTTTTACCACCACCAACCCCTCCACCAAACCCTCTCTCCGATTCTGGCCTCTCTACTATATCCTTCCATCAGTCTCCGACTTCTCCCTCTGGCATCTCCGCTCTCTCCCTTGAACTCCGCCTCTACAACTCGCTCCGCTTATCCCCCTCTTCCGCCGCCACTATCTCCCTCCTCAGTGTCTCTCGCTCTCAGGGAAGAATCTGCAGAAGATGAGATCTGTCTCATGCTCGCCTGCGCTCTATACTCCGCCTCCAACTACAAGAGTGCGGCGTCGCCGCTGATTCGAGCTCCGAAGACAGGGACAACAACGTAGAGGGAGAACTCAGCTTGTTCTCTACTTCGATGGTCGTCAGTCGCAATTGGAGAAAAAAGGTCGCGATTGGAGGTCAGGGAAGATTCCACCTTCAGTGGGAACGATGATTCTAGTCGGCGCTAGGGGTTCAATTGGGTTGAGGAGGAGCAGGGATGGGAGTCTATTAGGGTTAGGAATTTAGGGTGGGCTCTTAGAGTTAGTGAGTGGGCTGGGCTTGCAGTAGAGAGGGGAATTGGGTGTCTGGGCAGTCATTTTGGGTTGTGAGAGAGTGGGCTTCACTTAAAATATGAGTTGATTAGTTTATTTCGGTTTTTCGGTTCGGTCTATCAGAATTCGGGTTCTGTTGGCAGACCCTGGTTTCCGAAACATGAGCTTCTGCCTTTCGATTTCCGAACCGATCAATGTGAATTTCGGTTTCGGTCGGTTCGGCTTCGATTTTGGTCGTTCGGAGAGTTGAACCCGAACCGGATGTCCACCCCTAATTCAAAGGAGGCTACTGATGAGTGATGATGATGATCATCTCCGGTAGGGGTGTCAATTTGGGTTTGGGTTTTCAGTTTTAACCTAACCCAAACCAATAATATGTATTATTGGTTTTTTTTCGGGTTTTTGGGTTTTATTTTTAGGTTTCGGTTTCGGGTTTAGCTAAAGATACAAACGCTTCATATATCATAGAGTGTTTTCGTTTTCGGGTTTAGGTTTGCCTTAATCGAACCCTATACATTTAGGAGATTTTTTGGTTTTCGGTTTTTCCTTAATCGAACCCAAAACCAGATTCGGTTTTCAAAGGAAAACGGATTTCGGCCTGTTACCCAAACCCCGAACCGAACCGGCAGCCCTATTCTCCGGTAAATTAAATGATAATCCAACCACCAAATATACTTTATTCATTCATCAACTTTTGAAATAGAACAAATGATTTGCGAATGATATTTGGACTTTTTTTTCGTTGAATCAGTTACCCTCATCTCATTAATCAAAGCTAGCAAGAAGCTAGGAGAACCAATTACAACGAAAGGGGTATATCAGAATACCCAAAGAGCCAAAAATCTCATATATCCACTACAGCTACACAAAACAGCTACACCTACTACTGCAAAACAAGGACACCAGCAAATGGGCTCAACAGAACCATCACAAGATGCCAAAGCCTGCCATCTCTTCGAGGATGCCTCTGTTTGCTCTAATGATCAGTAGATCATTTTTAATTGCCCCCTGCAAATCAGCCACTGAGTGAGAAAGACCCCCATACTTCTGCCTGCACCTCTCCTTCCAGATGGAAGCCACCAGGAAACACCAAATCATCCCTGCAATTGCACCATGTTTTTTCCTGCATAAAGCACAAGCAACTTCCACAGTAGCAGACCATGATGCCTTATACAAATTGAGAGAACAAACACCCTGTACCACCTCCTTTGCATATGAACACTGGAAGAACAAGTGCTCCCTAGTTTCACATCCCTGTTTACACAGGACACACACATCATCCACCACCTTCCCCCATTTCACCAGTTTGTCAGCAGTGACAATCCCATCAAGTAGAATTGTTCATACAAGGAAACTGTTTCTAGGCACAAATCCATGCCCCCAGACTAGTTTGTGCCATTCTACTATAGGCCACTTAGCCTGATCACCTCCCAAACTACACTTAATCGAAACCTGGGCATGGGGACCTGATTCCATAGTATTGTTGCCCCCTGCATAGAGAAATGCTGCTGCAGAACACTTCGAGTTTTCAGTATCCTGCGCCAGGCCCAGGAGCCACTAGAACCAGACCTGATTGTCCAGATGCTACCCTGCTTAACCCTGTAGGTCATGATCCACGCCACCCATATAGTCCCACTCTGCATTAGGAGCAACCATAACATACGAGCCGTGCATGCTTGATTCCAGGAGTGGAGTTCCTTTATGCCCAAGCCACCTTCTTTCCTAGGTCGAGCCATTCTGTCCCAACCAATCTTGGCCCTGCCCTCCCCCTCACCATGCCACAAGAAATGAGAGCAGAACCTTTTTTGGGAGTAAAAAGACTTGCATCCAATATTGTAATACTCCCATTAAAACAGAAGTGACTAATTGAAGCCGACCAGCATAACTAAGTCTCTTAGCCCTCCAGGATTTTTGCCTTTTGATTTAAGTAGTGTAATAAAGGCTTCCCTAACCCAGCTAAGATTTTGGGTTCAACTGTTACCACCATTGCGTTTCTGTTCTTAACAAGAAGCACTTTTCACCTTTCGATTAGTAAACTGAGAAGAATCTATGTGAACTAAGTTACATGTGGCGTGATTAAATTTTATCAATAAGTCACATGTTCTCTGCCAACATATCTAGAATCATGAATTCAACAAAATTATGTTTCCTTTCACTAACTTTCCATACTATTTTATAGTTGATTGTATTAGTCCTGATGAGGTATTCAATTAAGTCGATTGTTGTGGTTATATAACATTCATCATATTGTAGCTTTTTATCATTAAAATGAGTTTTATATACCACTGTAGTAATATGTGACCATTTGTCCTTTGCAAGTATTACAGATGTTATCAAATTATGATACCCAAGATAATGCAAGCATGTATCTGTTCGGGACTTTTAATTACCTTTGCATGAGTTTCTTATTTTTCTGTTCTTTCCTTGCTTCCAGTTTGTTTATGTCTATAATAGTCGTTATCCCAATCTTATTAAAATTCTTTTTGCTGGAATTTTGTAATAGTTGGTTCTTATTAGAGCCTTGCTGACATACACATGGTTTAAGTAGTTTCCGATTTGATTGTGGAATTGATGATGCATATTAGGGATGAAATCTTTTGCTGCAAATTTATGTGACTTATGTGATGAGTTGTGTGAATAATAATGTATATCTTAAACTTCATGAATGTTTTATTTTAAAAAAGAGTTTCCTAAAACCTTCCTCCACAATTACTTTGTCTTTCGTCTTAAATTGGGATTTTATATTTACTATTTTAAAGTGTGGTCCTTTGATTTTCCCGGTAAGACCCATTAGCAATATGCAAGCCTCTGGTGCTGTGATATTTTTAGAAGTCAAGCAGTTAATCCCTTTGCAACAGATAAATTTGATATCAAATATATCATATTCAACAAGTCAATTCTCTGACAAGTCATCTTTTATCTCAGAGTAACTTTCCAGACTTCTCATATTTGATTGTAAACTTAGAGAAAAATTGCAACACTAATCCAAGTCTTGAACATCTTCAAGGAAGTACCTTAAAGAAGCAGAAACAAAATCATTTATCTCTGACATTAATGTTGTTGTGATAATTGTTCTGTATCCGGTGTTCTTTGTTTGCGTCGTTCCGGTTTTGATCCGGAAGCTTTGCTTCTTTCCGGTTTCATTTCGGATTATTGTATCGGGTTTCTTTTCCTTTTTTCTTTAATTAATTAAAAGTATATCACCATTATTAAAAAATATTGTTTTAGTATTGTGCCTCTCATTTATGGGATGTTAGTAAGTTGTTTGCTTTTCATTTAGATTGTAAACAACTTCAAATTATATGGTTTGCATAACGTTCTCCAGGTACAATTGGAATTTTTATGTTGTAAATGACATGTATTTGTGTTTATTCAATCTATTGAAAAAAGTATGACAACAACAGCTTACTTTCATGTAATTAATTGGTGTTTTACTTTCATACCAAAGCAAAAGGTTTCGAACAACTGCTGCTCAGTGTGAGAACGACTGATACTATGACAAGACCGCTTTAGTTTATTGGTGTTTAGTCATGTACTCATACATAGGGCTGCAAATGAGCCGAGCTGCTCGCGAGCGGCTAGGCGTTCGACTCGAGAGAAGCTCGTTCGAAACTCGACTCGTTAATAAACGAACCGAACACGAGCTCACCTTTGTTCAGCTCGTGAAGCTCGCGAGCTAGCTCGACTCGGTGGCTTGTTGAGCTAAACTCGTGAGCTGGCTCATTTAGGGCTCATGATATGTCTTAACATGTGGCTAGAGAGCCAACTCTATTACCAAGTTATGGACGAATCAATCTATATCTTATGATTTTAATTCATATGGTTGTTAAATTATATATCTCACCATAAATAAAGTTTAACACGTTGAGTATGTGAGCAAATATATCTTATTTTCTACTTTAAAAAGAAATTATGCATCATAGATTGCTTCGATACTATGAAATAACATGATTTTGAGTAGTTAAAATTTTGTTAACTAAATGATATATGATACCAACAAAGTATAATATGAGATTAGCTAACAAAATAAATCATACGTATCATGATATAAAAAATGAAGTACCAAATAAAAGTTAAGATCTTAATAAACAAGCTAGCTCGACCTCGACTCGACTCGGCTCATTTGCAGCTCTACTCATACAATAGCAAAAGAGTATGACCACATCTTAGTTTAATTAGTTCCATATAATTGTAAAAAAAAGTTTGATACCATATACGATTTCCAACAGCAGTAGTAGCCAATAGGCATGGCCTGTTTAGTTTGATTTTGTACAGTTTATTGGTCTTTCATCAAAACTCGACCGGCCAACGGGCTGGGGCTAACGTTAGTTTATTATATAATGTAATGGTGGATACACCCTTTATTTATTTACAACTAACGGAAAGATAGAAATGCCTTCCATTTTTTATTATTATTATTTCCAAACATATACTGAAGGCTTTATTTGAAAAACATTACTGCTATATAGTAGGTGATTGTGGTAGTTGTTGCGTACGAATGATGGTGGTTGTGCTTTGCTGAATTGTTAGTCAGAGTTCGATATCACCAAAGCTACTTTGCGCCTCTTGTAGGTTTTGATCTCTGATGTCTTGTTATTGACTGAAGCTGCAACGGCCTTTCCTTTTGGTTAGGGAGAATGAGAAATATGCCTCTTATTCATGTTGGCTGAATTTGCGGCCGGTTCAATTGGGTGCTTTGGTTGGGCGGTGTTGCAACTTGATTCTTCATTAGTTGAGACATTTTATCTATGTAATGCTGTGAAGTAATTGCAGATTAGGTAGATGCAAATCTGCATGAAAATTCAACGAAAAAAATTCTGCATGAAATGTTATGGAATAATCAACGGGGGAAAGTTGGGTATTACTTTTCTCTGTACGTATTTCTATAAATGCAAACTTGGCTTAGTAGGTTAATGATATTGTTGTTTAGATGTGCCTTTTTACGGTGGCATCATATAATGACAAATGAATAATCGTGAATGACAAATGAATAATCGTGAATAAGATAGGGAGTTTAATTGAGAGGGTTTAATTTCCCCCGGGAGAATTTGGCCGGTAGAACTTCCGAGGAATTGCCGAGACGGGAAGGGAAGTTGGCGTTCGGATCGTGTGACCGGAGGCAGGAGTAGACACTTACTGCAAATTGGAAAAACGGGGATCAAGAATGCCTGCAGCGGAAGGGGGAAGAGGTTTCGTTGGAATTGGCTAATTGAGACAGACAGAAGAGAGAAAGAATCTGATGGGGAGGGAGGAGAGATAATGTGATGACGTGGCAACATGAGTGTTGATAAAATTAAAATCCCTAAAAGGCAGTTCGGAAAAACGTTTATATGTTTCTTTAGATTTAGACTAGCTTAGCAGAGATTGACAAGAGTACATAATAGAGACAGACGAGGTGTTAGTTTTTTTTTTTTTTTTTTGCGCTCCGAGAAAAAAGGAGATCGGCGGAGAGAACAGCAGTGGCCAGGGTTCTTTTCTCGGTTCTATGCTGGCGGTGGCAGTGCCACTGGCCAGTGGGGGCCCTCCGGGCCCTACGCAACCTGATACTATTACGGGACAACGCCGCCCTCCTTCAGCATCGTCTTCCCCAAACCCTTAAGGAGATCGTGAAGCCCAGCAAAGTAAAAAGAGGGTGAAGTCAACGTTACCACTAAATGGAGGCGAGAGTCCAGCGGACGTGATGAATGAGGATACTACGATGGGAGAGCAGCGCTACAGCCATGGCAGTCCCATACCAGCAGCATGGTCCTCTGGAAAGAGGGCGGCGCAACGCTTATTCAGCGAACTCCTCCGCCCGGATGCATGGGTATATTGCAGACTCCGATTCAGAGGATGTTGCAGCAGCGATCAGAGAAGATGGTCTGGAAGCCAATGAGGAGGGTGAAGACGACCCGGTTTGCCCGACAATAAAATTCTCGGCGGCTGAGGAACGAAGATATTGCAGGGAGCTACGATCAGCACTAGTTGTTAAGGTGTTTGGTCGGTTGTCATCGTACACTTTGGTCTCATGCACACTCAATGCCATTTGGGCTAAGGCCGGGACAATTTAAGTAGCGTCGGCAAAAACGGGTACTTCCTGGTGCGATTTACGAGTGGGCTTGATTATGAACGTGCAGTCACGGGAGGGCCATGGATGGTTGGTGATCACTACTTAACAGTGCACATGTGGGACAAGGATTTCAACCCTTATAGCCACGAGGTATCGTCAACCCTTGTTTGAGCAAGACTATTTGATATCCCAGCACAATACTTCCACACGGATGAGGTTATGAAAATTGGAAATCGCATTGGTAAACCACTGCGAGTTGACCAGGCTACCAGTACAGGTGCACGGCTTGACAATGCGAGAGTATGTGTTCAACTCAACCTTACAATGCCGCTACTCTCATAGTTTTGGATCCATGGAATCAAGTACTTCATCCAGTATTAGGGGTTAGAGAAGATTTGCTTGCAGTGCGGGAAATACTTCGAAAGATCAGGATGCCCATGTTCAGCCCCAGTGCAAAGCGGAGAGCAGGAGGCAAATATCCCACAGAGCCAATAAAGGATCCGGAGCCTGAAAAAGTGTACGGCGAATGGATGATCGCCAAGTGACAGCCGCGGGCTACACGAAATGAGAACACTACCAACATCTCGAAAAATGTGGCCAGCATGGCTCATGCGCTAAAAGAGAGGCAAAAGGGCTCTTGGTTTAAGGCGATAGTGGATGATGAAGAGATGGAAGTCGAAGAGCCTGCTCCATATGCACCAACGGGGGGTCCTCCCAGACACAAGGGCACAAAAATGGAAATGCGAAAGTGGCCAAGGGGAAACAGCGGGAAGCGATATAGCTTACCGAGGAAAAGCTAAACACCAAAACCACAGGCAAGAATCACAAGAAATTCGACCCCGACATGTGCGATTGGATAAACGAGTACTAGTTCGCTCGACACGGGGTTAGAGATCCCAGCCTCTGGTGGTGGACCATCCTTTGCAACCGAGCCGCATTCGATGCGTCCTAGGCAGCCAGTTGGAAACGTCGATATAGAGATGGGGGATCAAGCCAAGGCCCCAAGCCCCACAATGTCAGTTCCTCACAAGGATGGAAATGGCGAGACATTAAGTTTGGCAGCCCTGGGTCGACCTCCAAACTTATCCCAAAGCGTACAGCAGGAGAGAACCGGGACGCATGGAGTGTGAGAGAACCAAGAGGTGTTGGAGAGTGGTGCGGCCACCACAACGTCCTGAGATTACTTTGAGGGAGTCTTTCTTAAACCTTTCACAATGCTTTACAATATTTTTGTTTGGAATTGTAGGGGTGCGGGAAGTAGGAAATTTCTACGGGTTTTTAACGAGTATAAGCGGAAACATAGACTACACGTTGTTATTATTGTGGAGCCACGTATCAGTGGTGATACAGCAAGAGATGTTATTAATGATATGGGGTTTGATAGTAAATTAGTAGTTGAGTCGGTAGGATTCTCTGTGGGCAATTGGCTCTTAAGGAACTCTACTGACCTAACGATTAATCAAATTGATGCTAATTCCCAGTTCATTCATATGCAGGTTACCGACCCAAGTGTGCCGGGACAAGGGTGGCAGCTGACGGCAGTATATGCCAATCCAGCTCCCATGCAGCGGCGTTCTCTGTGGGCAGGTCTTCGAGCTCTAGCGGCAGATAAGCATAAACTGTTGATGATTACGGGGGACTTCAACTTCATACTCCACCCCTCCGAGAAGCTAGGTGGTGTAGCCTTTAATGAGAGTCGAATTCGAAATTTCCAGGATTGTGTTCATGATGCGAGGCTAGCTGATATGGGATTCATGGGGCCTACATATACCTGGTTTCACACGGGAGTTCGGGAACGCTTTGACAGATCCCTAGTGAATAATCTCTGGCTAACTACACACCCGGAGGCAACTGTCTGACATCTCCCGTGAGTCAAGTCAAATCACCGTCCCATTCTTATCCATACTGCACTACCAAGTCAACCAGCAGGCCCGAAACCGTTCTGGTTCCTTGCAGCCTGGCTCACTCATGATGAGTTAAGCCTATGCTACAAGAAGCGTGGGTAAAGGGCGATTCATTTTCTCAGTCGGTGGAGGCGTTTGCTAGAGACGCGGCCCCGTGGAACTTTCATGTGTTTGGACACATCCAGAAAAGGAAAGACAACCTGTTGAGGAGAATCGAAAGCTTAGAGTTAAGGGACGGGAGGCAGAATCTAGCACATCAGCTGGAGCAAGATAGAGAAGTGCTCGAACTGGTTCTTTTCCCGAAAAAACTCCTCTGGTGTCAAAAGTCTAGACTGGAATGGACTGCATGGGGGGATCGGAATACATATTACTTTCAATCATGCACGATGCAGCGGCACAAACAGAATATGATCCTGTCCCTAAAGAACCAAAATGGAGAGTGAACCGACTCTCCAACCGAATTGCAGCAAATGGCCAGGTCCTTCTATATCGTCTCTAGACAGATGAAATGGGGGAGACCCATACCTACCTAGGCGTTTCCCGGCCATCGATGTGTCTAGATGGGCAGGGTTGGCGCTGATTCCAATTTTAGAAGAGATTCACTTAGCAGCAAAAGAGATGGGGGTCTGAAAGCTCCGGGCAAGGACGAGTTGAACCCTCTATTCTTCCATATATGCTGGTCGACGGTGGGAGAGTCAGTGATCAAGTTTATTAGAGACTGCTGGGAGGAGCCTGAGAAGAATAAGGAAGTTAATTCCACTATCCTTGTGCTCATCCCGAAGGTTAAGGTTCCCTCCACGATAGATCAGTTCAGGCTGATCAGCCTGTGCAACGTCGTGTACAAGGCCATGAAAAAATTCTTAGTGACTCACTTCTACTGTCACCCTAGGAATTGGCCAAGTGAAACCACTTCCTAAAGCGTAGTATAGCGGGTTTAGGTTTAATTATCAACCCGGGTCCTAGATTTGATGACTACTCAGTGAATTCTTGTTATCTAGCAATGAAACTTTAATGCAAGTCTAAACTAACAAAGCAAGTAAACTGTTGTATTCAGGTTAAGAGAGGTCACCCGGATATGGTTCCCCCTAGACTGCAGTTAAGCCGGATTGTAATTACCAAGTTCAGTTTCTATGAAAGTTATACTGCAGAAGGTTCTCAATCAGCCTGAAGTCTCGACTAAAGGTCTTCAGACCCTCTCAATCTGAGTCTCTAGCGGGCGACTAACCTCCACCAGAGTAAACAGATTGAGGCCTTAACAAACAAAACCTCCACTACCGGAGTAAATCCGGTACAGAATAGTGAGTTGGCTCCTCGACTAAAGTCACCAACTCCCTACCTTCAATCAAGGATGCTCTATCAACCTAGGCAAATATTCTCATTCTAGGTTAAAGCAGAAACAACCGGAATTTGATCAGGATTCAAGTCATTCAATCATTCAAACCTCAATCGAATATAATCAAATTATAGAATCAGTACTTGGGTTCATACAATCAAAGCCTAACATACAAATCTAGGGTTCTCCATACCCAGATGAATGGGAGAACTACTCCATGGAGAAAGAAGCAAAAGCAGAATCAGACGCGGAATTCATACTGTGAAGGATGGATTCCTGCTCCTAGATGTTGATCGGCACTTCTCCAAGCTCAAACTGGTCTCCAATGGTGATGAAGATCAAGCTAGGGCACTTGGAGACTCTTGTTCGTCGCTTTCTCTCTCTAGGAACTGATCTCTCTCTCTAAAACTTGAATCCCCCCCGACTTGTGGCTGAAAATCTACTTAAAAGCAGAAAATCCCGAATCACACGGGCAGGCCGCACGGCCGTGTGGCTCACCCAGTTGCCCGTGCGAGTCAAAACGCAGCGTATCAATTAGTTGAATTCCAGGCTTCTTGCACGGCCAGGGTCGCACGGCCGTGTGAAATTTCCATCCAGCCCGTGATTGCTCTCGCAGAATTCCACACGGCCAAAATGCATCCTCACACGGACGTGTGGATTTTCTGCTCTGCCCGTCTTTGCTCTCGCACAATCCCACACGGCCAAACTGGTCACTTGCACGGCCGTGTGGGTTGTGGGTGTGCCCGTGCGACTTCCTTTGTGACTCGCCTCGCGCCCGATCTTCGCCCAATTGACCCGGAACTCGCTCCTAAACCTTCATTCACTTGCCAGGACCTGAAATATCACAAACAAGCACAACCTAGCGTGAAATCGGTCTAAAACACGAGAAACACATCTCCAATGGTGTAAGAACAGGGGTGAAAACATGTGTAATTAACGGTCTATCAAACTCCCCCACACTTAACTGTTTGCTTGTCCCCAAGCAAACCTAACTCAAACCAATGCAACTCTCCAGACCTCTATAGCAACAAACAACCCAAATCGTAGGTAGAGGACTTCCTAAATCATTTAGCAGCTTACGAGGTCAACCGACGCATAAGTCATCTCATAGCTTCTTCGGCGAGAGCACTAGTATCGAGTCGGCATCATGGCAAACAGTGAACAGAGGACAAATGAATTGTGGATGAAGAGATTCTCAAAAACAAAGGATCATGGACTCACATTTTTCAAGGTGCTCTATTTTCTTCTTGAAGATGGTTGGAACCCCTTTTTCTTTCTGTTTTGCTTGTTTTCTGTTATTTTTCTTTTTTTTTTTCTTTCAAGGGTCCCAACCTGCTCTTACCGGCCATGCCAGGAGCGGATGTCTCGAGCCTCGTGCGGGGGAAAGACATGTAAGGGGGCTGGAGGTAGTAGGTGGAAATAGGGAACGGATTCCCGTCTCCCCTTACACACTTTCGCCTATTCGCACAGGAGACGTTATTTTGAAGCACATTTTCGAGCACCTGTTAAACTCAAAACATGAAACAAGAGTCCATGACAGGCAGAGAGTCCACAACACCACACAATTCAAGGGTCCTAAGATCACTAATTCACTCAATCAACCAACACAATATGAAGAAGAAATGAGACTTCTTAAATGCATCAACATCCTCCATAGTGCTACACTACCTCCCTAGGTTGCACATTACTATAAAGACTGTCAATTCAAAGCATACTGAGCAAGCAATTGCACGGAACACGTACTTGGAGCCCTCAAATTTAAAAATTTGGACAGTGGACTAGGCTCCAAGCACACAAACAGATCTAATGCAGTCAAAAGATAAACATCCCCCCACACTTAAGATCGACATTGCCCTCAATGGAGAAGAGGGAAGGGAAAGGGGAACGATGTTACCGGTATGCACGGACTGCAGGAGACTGGAGGCGGGCCAGTCGAGTGAAGCGGACTGGAGAGGGACCAGTCTGGAACAAAGCACAGCTAAAGGGGAACAGAAGAGCTCAAACACAATATGTTAGGTCTAATGTCAGCCCAATAAGACATCATCCAAAACAAAAGAAAACAAACCAAAACCAACTGGTTTACAATCCGACTCAAAACACAAGAAAGAAAATCAAACCGTGGTGGGGTTGCCTCCCCAC